TATGGAGGTCAGACGGTTAGAAGTGTGTCTCACAGGGCTAAAGGTACTGGCAGGGTTGGTTACTTCTGGAAGTTCCAGAGGACAATGTATTTATTCCTTGCTTCTTTAAGCATCTACGGGCTGTCAGCATCTACCTTGGCTTTTGGTCGATCCACCCTGGTTTCCTCTTGCACACCATGTTCTTCTCTTACAGATCTGCCTCCTTCTGACAAAGAGCCTTGGGATTGTTTCAAGACAATACAGCCTGTCTCATTTCAAGATTTGTGACTTCCTCATATCTGGACAGTTACTGATGGATCTCAGAGATCTCAGAGATGATGATGATATATATATATATATATATATATATATATATATATATATATATATATATATATAAGGCATCATGGACTGTTGCCTTCTTTAGCTCCATGATGAAATTCTCATTCCATGTATGCTGTGGTTAGGAGGGAGATCTTTTGCAAGATAATTAGAGTATGAGTTTGGAGCATTGGTCAATGGGATTGGTGCCCTTATAAAAGGAGAGAGAACTGTCCAGAAATGTTCAGTCATGTAAGGATACTGTGAGAGGAGGTGTCAGTGGACCAGAAGTAGACACAATTCTTGCAGTCAATCCAGAAAGCAGAGCCAGTATGGCTCATCCATCTTCACTCCACTTGAAAACCTTCCTGCAGTGTGAGCGTAAGGATGGACTCCAGTGACGCCTACCACAGGTCACCTGTGTGCTGTGGTACCTGTCTGTGTGGGGCGACACAAGGCATGGAGGGTTTCTTCCGTGATGAGGTACACGGCCATTGCCTTGGAAAGGACCTGGCTGTGGTTTTTGACCCATTTTCCTGGCATTCTTGTCTAATAGTCGACAGTTAATAGCAGCCACTGTTGACCTCAGCCCCTGTTGACCTCAGGCGCTGCTGACCTTAGAGACTACTGACACTTCAATACTGCTAGGAGCCTTGATTTTTACTTCCGCCTTGCAGCCATAGCAACCATTGTTGGCTAGTCCATGGTTGGAAGACTCCTAAATGAGAGTGAGATTTAAACACACACATACACACACCACAAAACCACCCAAAAAAACAGATTGTCATATCCAGGGAAGAAAAAACAAGTCTTTTGAACTTGACTTGACTCCTTTGGAAGTAGAATGTTCCAGAAAAAAAAAATATGACTTAATATACCCTGTCTGACTACCTTGGAAAGTGTAAGCCACACACAGAGATCTGTTGCCATCCTGAAACTAGAAGGAGAAATACTGAGTAGAGATACTATAGACAAACACTAGTTGAGTCGGGATCTGAAGGTGGACTGATTCAGTTCATTCTTACAACTGCCTTATGGGTAGTTGATAACATAATCTTTGTTGTCACTGGATTAGGATCACCTGGGAGACTAACCTCGGGGTGTGTCCATGAGAGAGTCTCTGGAGAGATGTAACTAAGGTGGGAAAACCTAACTCCAAATGGACAGCATCATTCCATAGCCTGGGATCCCGAACTGAAAAACAGGAGGAAGTGGGTGGAGCCTCAGAGTTCCTCTCTCTCTGCCTCCTGACTGTGTGTGTGATGGGTCTAGCTCCTTCCCTCTCCTGTTGGCACACTTTTCATAGTATGATGGAGTATATCCCTGAAAACCATGAGCCAAAATCAACCGTTCTGTGGTGGTGTGAAAGAAAATGTCCCCCAAGGGGAGTGGCACTGTTAGAAGGTGTGACCTTATTGGAGTAGGTGTGGTCTTGTTAGAGGAAGTGTGTGTCACTGTGGGGATGGGGTTTGAGGTCTCCTATGCTCAAGCTACTCCCATTGTCACAGGCCACTTCCTGTTGCCTGCCTATCAACATGTAGCAGCTCCTTCTCCAGCACACGTCTGCCTGCATGCCGCCATGCTCCCAAATAAACATACCGAAAACCTTACATTAATATTGGCCTGCTGGCTCAAGCTTATTACTAACTAGCTCTTACATTTTAATTAACATATTTCTATTAATCTATGTATTACCACGTGGCCATGGCTTTACCGGTCCTCTGGCATTCTGCTTCTTGGGCAGCTGGCTCACATCCCTCCTGACTCCACCCTTCTTCTTCCTCTCCTTTTTGGTTTTTCTGCCTAACTGTATCCTGCCTGACTATTGGCCAAACAGCTTTATTATTAACCAATGAGAGCGACACAGATTCACAGTGCACAGAAGGACCATCCCACAGCCTTGAGTCTTATTTCAAAGCAGGATAGCAATAAGGACAGAATGGAGCCTGCACCCACCCCACCCCCCACGACTGACTACAGGTTAGGCTCATGTAAACTAGTTCACCTGGAATTTCCCTAGTGTGCATACTTCTTCCATGGCCAACCAGCTTTTTTTTTTGTCCTAGAGCCAAACCATGAATAAGTTATTTTCTTTCTCAATGAATGTGCATATTCTTGGGAAATGGGCTCTGGGCATTGGGATTTCTCTGGGGACTCCTGTGCTGAGAATGGGGACTGCCCGAGATCCCGGGGCCAGAAGCGTTGCATCCTCCCCCCCCCCCCACACACACACTCAGGAAAAGACACCAATTCTGGGCAATCCGACTCGCAGCTGAAGGTCCATATTTCCTGGCTTTTGCTTCAGCCATGTGTACTTCTTGTACGTTGTCACAAGTTTTCCTGTGTTTAAACCTAAACCTCATATGTCAACATGATGAAGGGCCTGGGGTGGGGGTGGGGGAGGTACTGGAGCCCTCTGTTGGTCTTCTCTGCTTTTCATCATGGCTCCTCTTAGTCAGCATAATGAGATGGGATGGGATGGGATATGATGGGATGGGATATGATGAGATAGGATGGGATGGGATGGGATGGGATGGGATGGGATGGGATGGGATGGGATGGGATGGGATGGGATATGATGAGATGGGATGGGATGGGATAGGATGGGATGGGATGGATGGGATGGATGGGATGGATGGGATGGGATGGAGTAGCATATGATGAGTAGCTGCACCTAGCTCTGTGGGGCTCCCCATGCTGAAGCAAGGACTTTGCCCTAAAACTCCCACAGTGCTGTGGCCTTTCCTTGATCTCTAATCTTGATCCTGTTGTTTCTGATAAACTGAGTGTTGTCTTGCCTCCTATGGAGAGAAGCCAGGCATCTAGGGCCTCCCACAACATGCCATAATCATCTGCTGACCATTTTGCAGTGAATACCCAGAATCCACTACTTCATCCTGATGCTGCCCTAGCCAATGTCATAAATTGGGGTCAGTACGGTTTTAATGTTATTGGTATCTGTGTTAAAGGTCTGATACCCAGCTGATGGCACTATTGGGAGCTGGCAAAACCTTTAGGGGACCTGACCCAGTGTACAGAAGTGTGGCACTGAGAGAAGTCCATGTCCTTGGAGGGGTTATTGGAACCTCCTTCTTCTCTCTTTATTCTTCTGGTCACTCTCAAGTAGGTGAGCTATGTGATATGCTCTCTGTTCTTACATTCTGTCTTTCCACAGTCCCAGAAAGCAATAGAGCCAACTTATTATGGACTAAACGTTGACTCCAAAATAAATGTGTCCTCCTTTAAGTTGACTTCCTCGGGCATTTGTGACATCAGTGGAGAGCTGACCGACACACAGACCGAAGAACCTTTGTATAAAGTTGTTTTTGTTTGAGAGCCTCTAATCTCCAGAGTGAACTTCACTGTGAGGAATTATTCTGTGTGCTCTCCAGATCTTATGAAATCCTTAGATGTGGGAAATGCAAACAAAGATACTATCTTTAGTCGGGATGGAAAATAAAAGCTTGATCATACAAAGTATGAGTGAGGTTAAACACACACACACACACACACACACACACACACACACACACACATACACACACACGTCCACTTATTTCTGATGGATGTGTTTTTTGGTGAGCAATTTGCAAGTGGGAATGAAAACAAAGTCTATGTCTCCTCTATGACCCAATTCCACTTCTCTGATTCTTCCCAGAGAAACATTTACAAGTGCTGGAGGAAGTAAACCAACATAGCACTATTTATGTTAGCAGAATGAAAACCCAGCCCAACTACTCAGAAATAGGAAAATGTGTCAACGGGCTGGTTTATTCTTATAGAGTCCCATGCAGCACTTACAGAGAACCATGTCACTCTCCATTGCAAGCTTGGAGAGTTCTCCCCCATGTCCTGACTCACAGATGCCTTCCACAGTAGCATGTGTGCACCTCTCCTGGCTTTACAAATAAAACTATCAGCATACACATGTTAGCCAACTACCGGAGGATACATCTCTTTATAAAGGAGACACATCAATTGACGGCAACCTTTACATCTACGGCAGCGTCAGAACCTTGGTTGAAGATGACTGTGCTGCCTGTCAACTTGGCACAAGCTAGAATCGTTTTGGCAGAGGGAGCTTCACCTGGGAAAATGCCTCCACCAGATTGGCCTGTGGAAAGGCCTGCGATGCATTTTCTTGATCGGTTGTTGATGTGGGATGGTCCAGATTCGTGTGAACAGTGCCACCCCCAGGCTGAGATCCTGGGTTCTATGAGAAAGCAGGCTGAGCAAGCCATGAAGAGCAAGCCAGTCAGCAGCATCCCTCCATGTCCTCTGTACCAGCTCCTGCCTCCAGGTTCCTGCCATTTGGGTTCCTGTCCTGACTTCTATCCATGACGAACTCTGATGTGGCTCTGTATGCTAAAATAAACCCTTTCTTCTCTAAACTACTTTTGATTATGGTGTTTTTATCATAATAATAAAAACCTTAACTAAGAGACGTTATTGAAGACTTTAGTGTTATCTATATTAAGTGTGCTTTCAGTGAAAACTACAGGATAAATTACAACTTACGTAAGTTGAAAGAATATAAAAGAATGATTACAAAAACTTGCTATACTAATGTTTATCAATGTATTAATTGGTGCCATGAAAATTTAGAAATAACCTCAATTGTCCAATATCAAGAAATCCATTAAATATATTAAGGCAATCTCATGATAAATGATGACACAATGATCATGCTATTATGTTTATTCATATACTAAGTAACATAGAGAAAATGTTCACAGGAGCTGTCAAGGAGAAATGAGCAGGTTACCAAACAATGAGCATATTGTTTACACACTCAACTCACGGGCAGGTGTCAGGGTCAGAGTCTAAGCATTTGAGTAAAACATCTCTCAAAGGGCTCAGTACCAATGTCTGCCATTTCAGTGATGGAAATAACGATCTCATGAGATTCAGAACATCTGAGATCCAGAAGAACTGTAGAAAAGGACCTTGTTCAAGGGCAGAAGTGTTGGGGCTCAGAAAAACAATACTGTAACTTGTGGCGACTTTGAGAGCTCCTGTGAGAAGAAAACAGGTTGGGGATAATGAGGGAAGGTTTCTATGAAGTTCTATCATCTCCCTAAAAAAAACAGATTCACCAAAGAGGAGCAAAGTCACCTTCAAACTAACTCTAATTTCATTAGCCAAAGAAGAGTCAACTTATCAGGAGGCAGAGGCAAACTAAAGCACCACAGATGCAATACTGGAGAACGTTTGCCATTTAGCTTTTCTCCAGGCTCATTGTCTCCCCTAAAAGCCTCAAGAGAACCTCTAAAATTGTCCCCAGCCTTTTCCCACTTTTCTCTAGCCTATTGAAACCTTACCTGCTGACCCCCCTCTCTGGGGTTTGAAATTTTACATGACTCTCATCAGCTAACCCTGTACCATAAGCATACCAACTTCCTGATTCTATTTGTATTAGGTCTCAAGCCTGGGACAAATGGCTGAGGTGCTTAGTTAACAATCAAAGTGGATGCTGGCCTCCAGGTTCTCCCAGCATCCCTCAGTCCTGACCTGTTACAGGACCCTCGTGGTTGGCGTACTCTGCCTCCTACCACCGTGGAGCTGGACGGCCCTTCCCCCAGCTGCTCTGCCCTATATAAGCCAAACATTTTGGTTACCCCTCTCTCTTTTGGGTCTTTTGGCTGCTGCAGCTGGTTCCCCTCCCTTCTCCCTTCTTCTCTTCCCTCCCCTCACATGGATCATATCATGTCCACTCTGGATGTCCCTGCCTCTGTCTAGGTTTCCCTTCTATCTACAAAAAACTTTCTCCTCCACCATACTTAGAAGCAGTCATGTCTTTTCCTTTATTATTACTTTTTTTCATTCTATTTGTTTCCATGGTTGGAAATGTTAATAGCCCCAAATGGCTGAGAGCTAACGCCTTGGTCATCAGCCCCTGGTACTGTTGAGACACAGCAGAATCTTTAGGGGGCGGGGTCTAGTGAACGGAAGATAGACTGTTCTGTCCTTGAAGGGGACCTGGAGGCCCCAATATCTTCTTCTGTCTCTTTGCTCCTCAGATCCCATGGGGTGAACCCCCACCCCAACTTCGGCCATTTGCGTCTGCCGATATGTTCTCCCTCATCCTAGAACCCAAGTGTGTCATCACATTGTAAGAGAAGATGAAGTGAAAGCACCAGAATTCGACCACACTGTGAGTAAAGGGAGACGAGTTTATTCAAACTGGCAAGGCTCTGTCTCGGGGTTCAGAGAAGATAGGAAGGAGGGCGGGAGAGACCTGCCAGCGTTATATCACGGGTGATGTTGAAGTGGGAGGACAGTGGGTTAGCTGGGACAGCCTGAGACTATCATGGGACTTTGATCTGTTAGGGGCTCATTTGAGTCAATAGAGAACTCCATGCTCTTTCCAGAGATTAGGGGGTACAAACGGAGGCGGAGCATTTTGTTCCGTCTGCCCGATCCCAACTACTGGGCATCCGCTTTCCAAATTACCACACAGAGGCTTATATTAATTATAAATGCTTGGCCAATGACTCAGGCTTCTATTAACCAACGCTTACATGTAAATTAACCCATTTATATTCATCTATGTATTGCTATGTGGTCCGTGGCTTACCAGTCCTCTGGCATCTTGCTTCTTCAGTGGCTCCTTGCATCTTCCTTGACTCCACCCTCTTTCTCAGTTTGATGGAAACACCTAACCTTATCCTGTCCTGCCATAGGCCAAAAGAGATTTGTTATCAACCAATGAGAGAAATACACATACAAGCATACAGAAGGATTATCATCCCACATCAGGGGGCCCATAGGAGCGTATAAGAAAGTAATGGCTTTTCATGGCAGACTGAAACCCACGTTACAAGCTTTCTAGGGAGTGCTAAGTGTTTACTGGATCCAAGTTCAGTATCAGCTTGTCATTTTGGGGAATTTGGGACCTGACACAAATGACCATAGACTAAAACCTCTGGAACTGTTGATCCAACGATCCTTTTGTCCTTTAAGTTGATTTATCATGAGTGTTTTGTCACAGTAATAGAAGACTAATGCATCTCCTCACTGAGGCAAGGTGCCAGGAACATTGATAGGGAAAAAAAAACTTCATCTTCACTTCTTTTTGCTATGAATTCTTTGGGAATTATAAATCCAGATCCAAATTAGCATTGGCTCAGGCATCCACAGGGTGGATCATGCTTCTGTAGTTTCCCATTAGTGTAGAAGCGATCTGGTCCCCATCCCCCCTCTTGAGCAGGGACTTGATGAGTTAGAGGACAGTCAGTGGCTTCTCACCTCTTTTCTGACCAACTAGAGATCATAGTTCATATCTGCACTGGAGTCTCTGGGATGGACAGTCCCCATGCATCCCAGCCACACCTCTTCACTTCCTCTGTGGAATCAAGGTAAGGGTTGTTAGTACCTTTCTCTTGGACTTATCCAGAAACTGGGCATGTATATTGAATCCTACAAAATACTATACAAAAAAAAATTTCCCTTGAAAGCCAAGAAATAATGTTAGAAAAGTAAGTGGTTACTGCGATTAGTGAGAAAGAAGCCTGTTGGCAGAATAGATTTAACGTTGTGGGAAAGGAACAGGGAATGGAGAGAGAGAGAGAGAGAGAGAGAGAGAGAGAGAGAGAAAGGAGAGGAGCAGAGGGATGGAGTGGGAGGGAAGAAAGGGATGCTATTGCTCTGCATTTATAAATGACAGTGCTGTTCATTGCTTAGCGCAGCAGCAGTTCCTTATCTTCACCAGCACGGTACATGGGTAACACAGACCCTTCCCACACCAGGGAGAGAGGTGTGAACCTGACCAGGCTTGGTGTAAACCCCGAGGAAAAGTGATTGGCATCCCAGGTACCAAGTAATTGTGCCTTAGAAAAAGCAAGAAAGCAACAAACAAATACATCTGGATCCCCAGGGTGGTGTAGAGGAGGGGGGAGGGGAAGAAGAGGAGCAGGAGGGGGAAGAGGAGGAAGAGGAAACCGAAGGAAAAAAAAGAGGAAATGGGAGTAGAGACAAAGAAGAAACATTCCAGTCGCTGGGAGTGAATATCAAGTGTGTCTAGATGATTCTAGAACCCATAGCCTGTCAATTAGTCTACATTCCTTCGACCTTCATTCTTCCTGTATTGCCTTTAAATGCTGCCACGTTCCCTCTCCTTTGCAGGGGCGTGAAGCACTCACTCACTGCGACAAGGATGGACCACGGTAAGTTCCTTGTTTGTTTTAGGACAAGCAGGCCCTCATGTGTGACAAGGGAGGTCATGGAGAGGCAGGCGGGCTGTGGCGAGGTTGACGCTTTGCCCAGAACAGTGCCCAGGGCACCTTGCTGCCATCCCTTCCCAGCAGCGCAGACTGGGGCAGAAGAACCTGCCGAACCTGCCACCAGCTTAACTATTCTGCCGTGGAGTCTGAAAACACACTGAAGGGCTTTTCTGGGTGAATTGTGCCCAGATTTGCCTAATTTCCAGCCTGATCCTGACAAGATGCTTTGGCTTTGGGGCAATACTGACACCACGTGTTGGAATCTATAGAGGCGGAAGGAAAGTGAGATCAGGAAGTGCTCCTCCACGGGCTGGTGGACGCCCATCCTCAAAGAGCAGAAAAGCGGGGTGGGGGTGTGAGAGCCGGGACACACCCCCCGCTGGGCTCACAGTGAAGATTTTGGTGCAGCCTTCCATTGGAGAGATGATTATCCAAAGCCTACTTGGCTTTAGTTACAAATTATTTAAAAAAAAATAAACTAGTTCTTCTCAAAAGTTTGTTTGTTGATTTGTCTTTTCTAAGGTGGGGATTAAACATAAGACCCCCCCTGCATACCAGGTAACCACTCTACCGCTGACCTATATCCCTGACCCTCTTTTAACTGTTGTTTGCTTGTTTTTTTGTCTTATTTTATGTACATGGGTGTTTTGCCTACATGTATGTCTGCGTATGACATGTGTCCCTGGTGCCCTCAGAGGATACAGAAAAGTTTGGCTGGAACATGAGGATTTTTTTTTTTTTAGAAATGTTCCCTTTGCCTATTTATTTTACATTTATTACTTCCCCAGTTTGTAACAAGACAATTACAAATTAAAAAAAAGTAAGTCCAAAAGAAAACAGTAAATTTAAAACAAAAAAAGTTCCTCATGTTCCAGCCAAACTCTTCTAAAACAAAACATTTTGCTTAGTTCTTGATGTATCTATGTGCCCCTCAGTGTGGTAACGATGGGCAGAACCCCTGTCAGGGTTCATGGGTCCCCATGCTGGATGGTCAAGGTGGTTCAGAGGAGAATGGGAGGAACAAGGGATATATGGGCATTGAAAACTATCCTGGAATAAGGTTTGGAGATGAAACTGGCTAGTGTCTACAGGGCAATATATTACACCTGTGGAGTTATCATTTCTGTTGAATAAAAATCATTGCAATTGGTGGGAAAAAACCTCTAAGGTGAGATTCAGCTTCCAAAGGATGAAACCCCTCACCCAGAGGTGCAAATTAAATGAACATCAGACCCGTTCCACAGCTAAGTGGCTTGCAGACCATTGTAAGGACACTGGTCCTCCTTTGATGTAATTCCAAGTTTTGGATTCCTTAACTTTTCTGTCAAAAACATTGGTGATGTAGACTTTCTTAAAGCAACCCACTGGAGAACAAAACCCACTGGTTTTAGTTCTGAAGTTGACTTTACAAAGACATAAAACCAGTCGGTTGACTTTTCTCCCTCCTTCAGAAATGATGCAGAACACATCGCCCCCCCCCACCTCCTCCTCACAACATGTTCCCCATCATTCTAAAGAGTGCTGGGTTATGGCTCTCGGCACTCTTCCGAGTCACCCGTGTGCTACTGAGATCTTTATAGTTTAGGATTTGGGAGCACTGACAACTGTATCACGATTATTCCTTAGGAATTGTGTACATAGGATTAAGTAATAAGAGACCACTTCTTTTAAGGTGTCCTCAACTTGGGAGATGTCCAGTGGTATATGACATGGGCTTGATGAAGCACAGCCAGCCCACTATGAAATAGGTGTAATATTAGATTCTAGTCAAGTCCAGCATGCTGCCCATATATAATACATATAAACTTGCTTCTCTATTAAAGGCTGCTTTCCCTTCCCTTATCGAAATACTAAAATGTAAACAACATCCTTCCTGCAAAGAGAAATACAGAGCACTGGAAAAGAGTCGGCTATTTTCTAGGTTTCTCGGTGGCCAGCTTCCATCAACCTTGATAATCCTCATTCTTAGCTTTATGGTCCACTCTCTGAGATCTCTATGGTGCTGTGATGTCATGAACATGGGAATCCAAACACTCTTGGATGTGGATGTAGCAATATACCAACCGAAGGTTTGGCTCTGAGCTCATTTGAGGAAATAGTACTCACATGCACTCTTCTCTTTTTACTGTGCCAAGACACATAGCAAATGGTCAGTGGAGAGGCTTGTCAGGGTTGGCTGCCCAGATTCTCCTTCCTATGAAGTAATGAGAATGTTCTGGAAGCCATATTCACCCTGCCCTCTCCAGGCAGACAAGGGACTGGTGGTTTGGAAAGCACCGAGAACTATCAGATCAACAGAAGGCCATCTGCCTGTCATTAGATGCTAAGCTGGGGTCATTTGTGGTTTTGGGTGATCTGGCCAAGCACTTGGGCCTTGCCTAATGTAATTGACAGGAGTTCTGGAGAACACTGAAAATCTGGCAAGAGAAGACTGTCCTCCAGCCACTTCATCCGTGAAGGGAAAATATCTTAGTCATCTTTGAGTGGCCGCGGTAAAGCACCTGACACTCTTATGTGAGTGTCATCAGAGTGAAGAGGGTGGTCTTCTAGTGGTCTTATTCACAGAGTGGTGGACCAAGAAGAAACAATGGGAGCTGGAACTAGGGCCAGGCTATCGCCTTAAGAACCCCAACTCTCAGGACTATTTTGCATCAACCTGTCCCAACCTCCTAAGTGATGCTCCCATAGTACCCCCAAATAGCAGGATCAGTGGGGCAACAAGTGCTCAAGATGTGAGTCAATGGGAGGACATTTCAGATTCAAGCAAGAGAGAAAGACTGTCACCAGAGTCCCCTGTCTCCCAAACAGTGGTGCCCCCTGTCTCCAGAACAGTGGTGTCCCCTGGGCAGTGTATGGATACTTTGTTGTGTGAGGATATTTTGTTATGTGTGGATACTTTGTTGTGTGAGGATACTTTGTTGTGTGTGAATACTTTGTTGTATGTGGATACTTTGTTGTGCATGGATACTTTGTTGTGCATGGATACTTTGTTGTACATGGATACTTTGTTGTGCATGGATACTTTGTTGTGCATGGATACTTTGTTGTGTGTGGATACTTTGTTGTGTGTGGATACTCTTGTCTTGTTTCACTGCCTGGAGAAGCTCACCCTGCTGAGCTTATCCGTGGACAGTGTTACCATGAATGCCATTACCATGACAGATCCATGGTCTTTAGCCTGCCTGGGATGCCAGAGGAACATGTCAGTTCTAACACTGGCTGAGTACCTGGACTGTGGAGGGGTGTGGTGTTCTGAATGAGAATGGCCACCCTAGGATCATCTATTTGAATGCTTAGCCACCAGGGTGTGGAATTGTTTGAAATTATTAGAAGGGTTAGGAAGTGTGGAGTTGTTAGAGTAGCTGTGTAGAGTAGAGAGTAGAGTAGAGTAGCTGTGTAGAGTAGAGTAGCTGTGTAGAGTAGAGTAGCTGTGTAGAGTAGAGTAGCTGTGTAGAGTAGAGAGCAGAGTAGAGTAGCTGTGTAGAGTAGAGTAGAGCAGAGTAGCTGTGTAGAGTAGAGTAGCTGTGTAGAGTAGAGTAGCTGTATAGAGTAGAGTAGAGTAGCTGTGTAGAGTAGCTGTGTAGAGTAGAGAGCAGAGTAGAGTAGCTGTGTAGAGTAGAGTAGCTGTGTAGAGTACAGAGCAGAGTAGAGTAGCTGTGTAGAGTAGCTGTGTAGAGTAGAGTAGCTCCTCCAACAGGAGGAGGTGTGTCACTGTGGGTGAGCTTTGAGATTCAAAAGCCCATGCCAGGCCTGGTCTGTCTGTCTGTCTGTAGGTCCGTCCGTCCATCTGTCTGTCAGGGGCAGGGGTGTGTGTCTCCGCTCTTTCTGCCTCTCTTGGCTTGTGGATCAGGATGTGGCTCTCAGCTACTGCTCCAGCACCATGTGTATTGCGGTGCTCCCCGCCATGATAATGGACTAGCCCTCAGACACGGTAAGCGAGTCCCCCAGTTAAATGCTTTCTTTTGCTAAGAGTTGCCTTGGCCGTGGTGTCTCTTCATGGCCATAGACGGGTGACCAAGGCAAGGGGTTACTGCCCTTCTGCTGAGGGCAGGGGCACGGCTGTGTTCAACGTCTAGGCAACTCCTGAAGCGCAAGACCTAGACACCATGCTCTGATAGATGTCTTGAAGTCAGAGGGCTGCTTGGAGTTGACTCTGAGATTCAGTTTAAGGCTGGAGCAGCACACAGGTGGTGGGAGAGGTACACATGGGACTTTTCTTGGCTGGGACACCTGCTCATTTGCCTTCTTAGGAGATGGGATGTACAGACTCTCAGTGACCGCCCCTACTCAAATCAATAAACAAAGGCTATTTTCCTTACACTAAAATCAAACCATCTGCTGCCACCAGGGCTGCAGCCACTTAGCCGTATCTAAACTCCCAACTGCAAGGGAGAGTCTTTTACCCATAATCCTCTGCAGTACAGTGATAGGTTGGAAAACTTGGGCACTGGTTCTCGGCCTGCGGGCAGAGCAAAAGCGAAACCTTCAAATGACAAATAAAGCAGGTTGTGCCCTGGCTGAAGAACAGTCTCATTTCTGTCAACTGGAAGAAATGAGTCACTCCACTTTCAAAATTAGTGGTCAGAATTCAGCTGTACCCCGGGCGCAAACCTCTCACACTTTACCCAGAGGGGAGCCGAGAATGTTTACTTCTCTCTCGCTGCCTGACTTTTTTCATGAGCCTACACCCTCCGGGCTACAAGAAAAACAACCCAAACTATGTTTAGCACAACGTGGTGGACTTTGAAATAATGTCCACTGTCCCTGCAGAAGTTTGCGGATACTCTCAGATTTCATCGTCCTCGTGGCTTCTTGGGACCACAATGCCATTATCCTGGCTGGAGTGACCATCCTAATTCTTCTTCAGAATGAACATCATGTATCTTGTTTTTTCAGTTTTTTTTGTTTTGTTTTTTGGAGTTTTTGTTTGTTTGTTTGTTTATAACAGGACTAGGGAGACAACTCAATCCTCAAAGGTGCTTGCTGCCAGACCTGTTGCCGTGAGTTCGATCCCTTGGACCTACACAATGCCGGGAGATAACTGACTCCTGCAAGCTGTCCTCTGACCTCCACACACATGCCATTGCACAGCCCTGTACTCCTACCCCACGTGCATACACACGAGCACACAAAGCAAGATAGTGCAACCAAAAAAATGCATGTATAAATAACCACAGTCTTCCCATATGCCGCTCCACTTCCAGGTAACCTCTGCTAGCAATATCCTCCCAACACGCTCTCTGCAGAGTCACAGAAATGGTGGAACCTTCAACATCAGTACGTTTCCCTAATTATTTCACAGAATCAGTGTGTGTCTTATGCCCTAATATCATCTTTCACATTATTTACTTACTGAGACAGGGCCTTCCTATGTCATCATGCTGTCCTCCAGCTCGTGGGTTACAGGGACTCCCCTCCCGGAGCATCTCGAGTAGCTGGCTGGCACAAGCCCTGAATGTGGCCTCTGCGGTATTTAGTTTATAATCACTCCTGTTAGACAAATGCAGGGCATGCTGGAGAGAGAAAGGGAGTAAAATTAATAACTGTGCTAGGAAAACAGCCAGGGTGTTCTTCACCCTACTTTTGAAGGGGAAGTGTGCCCCGGGCATCCTTACAAGGGAAGAGACAATTGGGTCTATGTTGTGACCCCTGTTTATCCACCGTGGGCTGTGCAACCAAATGGTGGACTTGTGGTCCTTCCCATACTGTTGTTCTCGGAGGTGCTGCTGGCTTCTTCTGGCCCCATGGGAGTGCGTGCTGAAGCCCCCGCAGGAACATGGGGACCATTTTTGCCTTCTGGTCTTAGTGGTTGGATTCATTCCATTTTTTCTAAAGTCACAGGAGGTCTCCATTGGTCGCTGGCATGCTCAGCCACTCTCTTTTTGTGGCCCATGAGAATGAATGGCTGGCATCTGGGTGTCCCACATTCCAGCCCTGAGTCCCCCACAGCCTGTCTCCAGATCGTCTGTTACTCACTTACCTCAGCACCTCTCAGCCATTTGGGATGTGATGATGAGCAGGTAGCTGGGGTTCTTTGGTGACCTGATGCTTCTTCAGAGTGACAACCGTCAGGCTCCCTGGTCCATCTCTTCCTGCTCATGAGTTGGTCCTGAGAGGGCAGCAACTCAAGACCCAGAGTTCTCCTCTCTCGTTCCTCTTGTAGTTTCTCACTTCCAGAAAGAGTAGGCAACATGTCTTTCTTCCCGGCACACGTCCTTCTGTCTGAAGACTATAGTTTGGGGTTCATCTGTCTTTAAAATTGGGGAATTTTTTTTTCCTATGTGGAAAAGTCACATGGACTTATGATCTTGGTCACTTAATTAGATTTTTTTTTTTGAGACAGGGTTTTCATTATGCAAACCAGGCTGGCCTCAAATTCACAGAGGTCCACCTGCCTCTACCTCCTGTGTCCTGGGATTAAAGGCATAGGATGTAGCTCAAAATAAATTTTAATGTCATTTTTTTTTTCAAATGAATGCTTCAGGTTAACATGCGACGTACTGGGTTTTCATCACGGCATCTTAACACAACAAAATCAAGGAAGTGGCAAGAGGGTGAGAATGAATGAGGACTGAGCAAAATCTCCCAATATAAATCTCCCTTCAAGCTGATCATCTTGTAGAGATGTGCTAAGATCCAAGTCAGTGGTCCACACTGAGCAGACACTTCCTGTGACCTCGTCGCTCATCTGTGCAATGGGATGCTGTGGGGACAATGTGCTTCATGCCTTGCAGTCTCCGCTTTTGGATTTCATGACCAGAGCACCACACAGGGGGGATGGCAGACAGCAGAGGTCTGCCTTGCCTTCAAAGCCTTCAGATCCACTCTTGCAAAGCAGGAGGTCTCTGGTGCTTACCTCCTATGCTGTTAGCCCAAGCCCAGGTATTTCCCAGGCCTACCACACTCCGCCGCTGTTGTCTAGGTTATTTTATTTTATTTTTGCTTCAAAGGGAAGGAAAAAAATCGAGAAAGGGGGCTCCCACCACCCCCATAACTGCTACAGTTCCAGCTCATCAACACCAGAATCTAAACAGTCTCTGGAAAGTACCTTTGTGAAGAGGCAGCTGCTGCAAGGGAGAAAAATGGCCGTGGACGTCAACAACACATGGGGTCCCTCCACTTCACGGCCTTGTCCATCTCGGCCTTGGTTTCTTGGTTTTCCAACTACTGGCCCCAGGTCCCACTTCCCAGAATTCTCTTCTCTCTGTCTTAGAGACTGAGCTTTCTTCCTTGTTCCCAAGGATAGCATATCCTTAGAGAGAAAAGGCAGAGTACTTTAGTAGGTTAAACGAAAACAGGATTTGGGATAAGTCAGGCCGCCTGGATCTGAATGCCAGTTCAGCCAGTGCGTACCTGTGGAAGTTCACTTTCAAGTCTCAGCTTCCTCATCTGTGAAATGGGAGAATTTACATCCTATTAACAGGCTGCTGTGGAGGAGCTGAAGTACATTCATGCCCTCTGGAGCTGGCTGTACTGTTCCTTTGAATATGATGATGCATACAGACAGGTCATAGAGTGGGAGGCAAAAGTCCTAGACTTCCCCGGGACTTATATGTCATCCACACATCATTCACTTCCAGTGCAATGTCTGTTTACCTGGCAGAGTGCTGGGAAAACATGAAAATGATTAAATAATAGTTCAGAGTGTAACTACGTTTCACGTGAGAACACCAATAACCGCACAGTACAGATAATCATCTTTTAGTTAGAAACCAACTAGACTTTCGAGTGGGTGTTTGTCCAAATCCACAAGGAAAAGTAAAAAAGGTCTAAGTGGTAACTTATGGCCTCCGCACAGACCCTACCAACCACAATGATGCCATAACAAAACCCAAGATACTGGATGTGCTGGCTGGTTTTATGCCAACTTGACATAAGCCAGAGTCATCAGAGAGGAGGCAGCCTCAACTGAGAAAATACTTTATAAGATCAGGCTGCAAGGCAACTTATTTTCTTAATTAATGATTGATGGAGGAGGCCCCACCCATCGTGAGTGATGTTATCCCTGGGCTGGTAGTCCTAGATGGTATAAGAAAAGATGAGCAAGCCATAAAGAGTAAGCCAGTAAGCAGCATCCCTCCATGGCCTCTGCATCAGCTCCTGCCTCCAGGTCCCCGCTCTGCATGAGTTCCTGCCCTCACTGCTTTTGATGATGAACTGTTACATGTAACTATGAGTGAAATAAATCCTTTCCTCCCCACAGTGCTTCGGTCATGTAACACTAGGTAATAGTAACACTGAGACACTTGACTTTTGTTCTGAAATGTTTAAGGATCTGGCGAATCACATCTTGTATGCCGCTTAAGAAGAAGAAGCCCCCGGCTGTCTGGAAGTTTTCAGACTCCTAATTGTCCTTTGTATACTGCAGATGTGTGAAGCGCTTCCAAAGAGCAGGCAGCAGAGATTGGAGGAGGGAGCCGGGCCTGAGGAATTCTTCCCTGCGAGACTGATCAGGAGCCCAGCAGCTCCACATCTCCACTGGCAGCACTGACCTCCAGCGAGAACCACTTTATTTGCTCCAGAGGGACAGAGGGAAGGGAATAAGAGGCAAACACAGGAGACAGAGGATGAGGGGGAAGGGGAAGAGAACAAAAGGGAGGAGAAAAGGGGCAAGGGAGATGGGGAAGGGGTATTAGTCCCCTGAGAAAAAAAGGACTGCTCTGGATAAAGAGGAGACAGATGTGGCGCATAGGAAAATGGCGGTTTATAAAGGTATAACGGGAACCCCATGTTAGGATGAGGTGTTTAACTTTAATTGGGCATGTTAATTAGGCGAGCCAAAGGGGACTTTTGATTGCTGAGCTTCAATACTTTGATAGCTGGGCCTTGGTAGTCAGCCTTAGGAGGAGGAAGTAGCCAAATAAGTGGAGAGACTTTGGTGGCTAGCTTTAGGAATGTAATCTAATTATTTTTTAGCAAGGCAGAGGGAATGGAGGACAAGGCCAAAGCCTGTCAGAACTGTGCCTGGCAGCAGAGTCCCTCCAACCCCCCCCCCCCACTACGCCCACCGCCTTTTTTCCCCATGCAGCGTATCTTACAAGATGATCCCAGATGATCCTTCCCGTGGGGCTCTGATTCTGAGCTAGGTCCACTAAACACGTGTTTATGGTTGCATTGTACCGGGCAGCCTGCCCACATGACTGATGGCTTCTCTTTGCTGAGGGAGAGCCATGGCCCACTTTCAGCTCGGTTTGGGATGGTCAAGGAGAGGAGAGCGCCTGTAACTGGAAAGTAATTCGGAGGTCCCATGAAGACAGCTACACTCTGGGCTTGTAACTCAGTCCACATCCTGGTTCTGTTTCTTACTCTGGACCTGCCAGTTCCCTCCTGCGAGCCTCCATGTATTTCTTCACCTACAAAAAGGAAGAAAAGGCCGTTCTCTTTGGACTGGTGGGTTAGAAAATCACTGTGCCAAGTGAGCAGCAAATAAACAGCAGTTAATGAATATTCATTTTTCCTTTTGATCTTTGGAGCAAAGTTTGGAAAGTGCCTGATTTAATAAATGAGTCAAAGACCAAAATTCCCCTTGCGTTTTAGCTGTCTATGACTTAGAAAGCCGTTTTAGTTAGGTTCCCAAGACCACTCCCAAACGGCTCACTTCCGCTCCACAAAAGCGCTACTCGACGTTCCGGGTAAGCAAGGAGGAAAAAACCATTTTGATAGATCTTTTCAACAGGCAGGATTTCTGCAAGTGAGAGGTGCGGTTCTGTGAAGGGGGCCACGGTCAAGACGCTTCCAAGAGCCTGAAGCCCACACATAAGCATCCAGCTCTTTTGTCTTTCTCTGGGGTTCTCTGCAAATCTTAGATGCCCTCGCATGCGGCCAGCTTAGGTCCATGTTCTGTTTCCTCCACTTGGCAATTTTGTGAAGTGGGGCAAGTCATTATTTAACTTCTCTCTGCTTTGGCTTTTCCGTCTGTGAAATGGGCTAAAAACAGCGTGTTGTCCAGACGGTTCTCTTCTGAGGCTTAGATGTGAGGAGCATGGAATAGTGTGGCAGAGATCAGGACAGGTCCTAGACCAAACACCACCATGGGATATTTCTCTTCATGCAGCAGGGCTGGAACAGAAGCTGAGTTCTGAAAATGCCTGGGGAACTGGCCGAATGAGAGACTGTGGGTGTAGTGGGTAGCCATTCCAGCTTGGTTCTGGAAGTTCCAACCCCCATTGAGACTCTGGCAACTGTCACGCCTACGAGGCGGGGCGAGGGGAGGCGCCGGGGGACCTGAGAGCTGGATGGGTCAGAGCTCTCTCTGGGCGCTCTCTCGGCGCTGACCGGTGCAGATTGACTGTGCAGAGCTCCGGAGAACACCGCTGGACTGCGTTATACCTTCCCCAGACCCTGCGACCTACCCATTACTTAATTTGTGAGTTACGCCATTAAAGAAATATCCTTTTAACTACGTGGAGTGGCCAAAATAATTTCTCCAATATGTGGGGGCTGCGCTGCCCCTGCCAACTTGATCCTTGTTTAGCTGAGGAGGTACCAAGTTCAGGACAGGAGGAGGACAGGGGGCAGGCTCACCTGGCCTGCACACAGCCACACTCAACACTCCTTCATGGCAGACAGAGCCAGTGCCAGGGAACGGGGGAGTCTCGGCTGAGCTGTGTTCCCAGAGAGCCGGTGTGGAACCCGGGTAAACAAAACTGTGGCTAAATACCTTTGAAATTTCTCTCTGGAAGCTTTGTGGGAAGTTTTCTTGGTCCCCAAACTTCTAAGTGGGTTGACTAAAGTCCACTGGTACGTATTTGATACTGAAGAAATGATGCAGGAATTCTTGGCACGCCAGTCTAGACTAGCAGCAACTAAGAATTGTGTCCACAAAACAATCTTTGCAGGGACTAGTTTTATTTCACTTCAGTGACTGTTTATTGTTGGAGGAAGGGGTGAGATCCTAGAAAACAATTGCTTGTTGTTGACAGGCCTCTGTGAGGTCTGGAAGTTCTGATGCAGATGGGCCGGGAAGCCAGGCTCAGAACTCCTCACTCACCACTGGTTCGGTCATTCATTCACACACGAATCTCCTCTGTATACTTGGAACTGTACGGCAGACAGAGCAGGAGCAAAGCAGAGAGACCCCTGCCTGCCCCAGGAGACTGAGGCTGTGGGT